CATCGCAGGCTGGACACGCAATTGTCGACCCGTGCTGCAGATGTCAGCCAGGAGGCATCTGGAACGTCGCCAGCTTTTCGAGCTTGACGCATAATGATTCAGCTATATCGCGCGCCCGATCTGACATCCGCCATTTCAACGCAACGGACTGCAAGTCAACGTTTTTCGAAACGCGAAAAGCTATCATTCATGCTTTGGTCGTTCCAGCGATCGGTCACACAAAAGATGCAATCCGACACTGCAATTCAAAACTGTAAGAAACTATTTAGCAATGCAAAGTAGGTACGTAAAGTCGATCCGTCAAATAATTCCAGTCGCTAGAGTGCGCTGAGCTGAAAACATTCTACTGCTTTTCCATGAGCACCAACGCTGCGAAACTGTACTAATGCAATCTTGCATTTCAATCAGTCAGCGGTTTATTAGCTTGTACAAAATAATTTTTTTATCAACATTAGAGACAATATTCCGATACACCAATCTCTATACGTACACAATGGATTTTAAAATTATTTTAAATGAACCCCTTCTGCCGTTCAAAGTTTATCAGTGGGGCACTGGTGTCCATTTATTACGATCACGACGGAATGCCTTATTTTAAACGTTTGAATCGACAGCAGCTATGTGGCATGCACAGGGTGTTTTCTCCTGTTTCCTGCCCACAAAATGGTACTCACTCACCAACTTTAGAAGGAAGGAAGGCGTGTAATCCGACCACGCAGGTGTGAGTCCGACGCTCTACCGACTGGGCAACCACGGTCTGTGGTACATAGCCTCAATTCGTGATACTCAAAATGACGGACGGGGATACTCAAAAGCTTTTGTTACGTTATGCCGACAGCAACTGTAAAGAACTTACGCTAGTAAAATTTGCTGATTCACATCGCTTTAGACAGGAATGCAATTCGTATTCATATCCAGGTAAAACACAATAAACCATTTTTACACTGCTTGACAAAATATGACCCCGATGTTCTGCGAGTTTTCGACATCGCCGATGAATACATCACATTAAATTGAATGATAGTGAATTGAAACGGCGAAAATGCACCGTGTAAAGAAAGAAAAGTCTATTTCTCGCTTTACATCAGCGGCTCGATTGCATCGTTTAGACGTTTATCGATAAGCAAGTACCTAATAAATTTTCCCAACTGCAAAGGAAACTCTTATTCAATTTAAAACACGTATAAAATCATTTATACGTTCAAGGCAACGACAAAACTAAAACAAAGCTTTATTCAATTCGCGCAGTACAACGAGAACTCCACACAAAACACCCAAACAAAATTTACTGCTTTCATATCACGCGCTGAATTGGTAGCGATTTCAACGACAACGAAAACGACAGCGGCGGCGACGGCTAGACGGCCGGTCGGCTGGCATGCGATTCTACGGAATATAAGCATCATCCACATAAGAGAGGAAAGCGCAGTGAACGGATAAATTAAACCGCAAAATCTATTAAATTAAACTGGTGTACGACAGCGACAGCTTCATGGGACCATCGACAACAGGAAGTCGACGGATTAGCGTCAACGATAGGTCAAATGAAGATGTACGTACACGTGATTTTGGACCTCTGCCAACTCCAGCACGAAGCGCTTCTTACGTTAGACAATCGCATGAAAGTAAGTTATATAAAAAACACAAGTGCTACTGCGTCATAATTCATAATTTCCAAAAACAATCTCGAAAACGACGGTAATAAAAACCTCTCGGATTGTCTTCAAAAAAGAACGGGCGAAATGGTTTCAAGCGCAAGTTGGTAGAAGGAATCCTTTCCTTGCCACACCTAGGTTATGTTCTCCCTGAAATATAAGTAAATATTATAATTCCAAATTAATTACATCACATGAGCATAACAATAATCTTCGACTGTTTTAAATAGAAACAACCGCCACAAGATGATGCCACGACTGCATTAATGCATAACTGCGATTACGGGTCTGCATAAGCAAATCTTACTAGCTCTGAAAATCATCAACGTGTGTTCTTTGTCAAGTGATCAGCTGACTTCCAACGAACTAAGTTATCCTTATTGTTTGAACGAATAAAATAATTTCGTGCGAATTTTCACGAATCAAATTAATTAATACTAATTACCTAAGTACTTAAACGAGTAACTTACATGTTGATGCTGAGCAGATTGCTGGACTGGCAGTGTGTGTCGGTTTTGTAGTGACACCTTTTGTGACAGAGCATTCGACAATCTAAAATAGTCCACAACAACCGTTAGCAACACGTAAAAAAGTCAGGCCTAAATTTTTACCGCGACACTGATACCCTTGACGTCGAAAAGCGCTCGTGACCGCTTTCATACAAACATTGCAAAAGCTGCCTCTAAAACACAGAGATCTTTCAAGCGTTTTCACAAACACTGTGAAAAAAAGGAAATAGCTTAACAATGATGTCAGACATCCTAACAAATCGTTGAAGAAAATCTGCGAAACATACGGGTATGGTACTCAAAATTTCGAGGGAATGATAAGGAGTAACTCTTAATAATTTCTGAAAAAGACACGAAAAGTGCAGTGTGCAATATACGCTGCAGATGAAGAATACTACAATAAGTAAAAAAAACAAATGTAACAGGGTCCGTACAAAGATACGATTTCATGCGAAACTAACTGCTGGATCAGAAAATGAACTGTCAATAGCGAATCAACCCTTTTCTCAATTCATTACCATAAGGAACGTTTACAAACACATTCTTTATTATATAATCACTTGGAAACTCCGCCATGGCCGGTCCCAAGCCCGGATGAGAAAGAAGGAAGGTTGGAAATCGTGGCAAGTCTCCGTAAACTTCAGCCACCTGCCACTCATCGTATTGACGCCTTCGAAAAGTATACCCGCTCGGTCGTCGCTCGGGTTACCAAGGGCCGAGCAGGCTGTTGGGGGACTGAGGCAGACTGCGAAAAGTCGGCGATCAGAACCTG